CACCTCATGACAGAGAACTGCCACCCTACCTCTACCATGGGACCAGGGCCCGGAATTATGGTTCCATTGTGAGACGAGGCCTTCTAGCTGGCGGCCCCTCTGGGTGCCGGACGGATATCCACCTGGTAGAGCATCTCCCAGACTCTCTGTCAGGATGGAGGTCCAATTGCGAGCTCGCGATCCAAGTGGCCTCTCGGACGGCAGATTCTGGTGGCTGCACTTTCTGTTGCAGCGACAATGGAGTGTATTTAACCGAAGGAGTGGGAGGAGCCATTCCGCCTTCATATCCGCTGTGGTCATCCTTCGCACCGGCGAGGTCATTACCTCTCCCACAGCGGGCACGGCCCCCTCAGGGGAAGCCGTTGAAGCCGGACTCCGCAGAGCGCGTCGCGGATACATGTGTGCGACCTGCTCTGTCGTAGCACTCATTTGCAAGTGTCAGCTGCTTGTCCTTCTCCATTGTTGGCATGCTCAGGTTGTGCCTGGTCTCTTCGAGTGGACGACTCGGACTCCCAAGTTTATTGGAGTGCTACCGACCGTCCTGCCTAGGCACCAGAGGGCGCATGAGGCGCGCAACATGTGCGCTACCTGTGCGCAGTGGGCGCAGCATGCGCGCAACCTGTGCGCAGCTTGTGCGCAACCCAGGCGCAGCATGCGCGGCCGGTGCGCAGCTTATGCGTGATCTGCACTCTCAGGTCGCCATGGACCCCTCGCGGACAAGAAGCTGGAGGATGCTGGACTGGCCAGCTAGTTGGGTCCTCAAATCATGCTACTTTGTTCCGGGGGGGCACCGCACCTCTGTTACTGTTAGTGCGCTGTACCACCCTTACTCTCCCGGTGCACATCCCGTTAGCATGCACCCCCGCGCATCCTGACAGATATGACTCTTTGCCTTGTCCCTCTGGCCCGCACGGAAGCCGTGTCACCTCAAGCTCAGTATTAACTGTGCACTCGCAGTGGTCTTGGGCTAGTATCCGGGGAACGGCCCCCCTGGGTGCCGCATACCTTCACATGTCGCACACGCCTGACTCTGATGTCTCCGGCTTATGGTCCCCAAGTGATGATTCCGAAGACTTTATTTCATCGCCTGCACCTGCAGCACCTGCAGCACCTGCAGCACCCGCTGTGGGAACTTCTGCTGTAGGCACTCCTGTAGGAGGTCTCCTGGGCCGAGTGCTACGCAGGGTGAACTATGCTCCGGAGATACTCCAGGTGGTAGAGCATATTCCGGACCCGGTCAGGCTCGAGGAATCGACTTCACCCCCCTCGGCGGCTCCTGAAACGATCCGCAGGCAAGGCGCAACAAAAAGACCGCGGGGCCAAGCCAAACCATCTGTGGCACCACATTTGGCCTCTGCCGTGATTGAGGATGACACTGGAGCTGCTGATGCTGCGGCAGCGGACCCCGTGGTGGCTGCTGCGGCCCTCGCTGGGGCGCCGAAGTCGGCCTCACCCACTCGACATATGCCGGAAGGGCGCCAACCAGTGGAATGGGTAGACCACGAGGTGTTTCATTACGATCCCGAGATACATCGTCTCTCAGAAGCTTCATCGGCTCCCTCCCATCCTGTAGGGATGCAGCCTGGTCCTGCTCGTCAATCACGTCGGGCATGCGCCAAAATGCTCGTCAGGGCAGGCCATCGGTGCCCCACCTGTTTTTGCTTGACTTCGCTTTGCCGCTGTCAGCGTGAGAAAGCCACTCGCTGCCTCCCTTCTCTGAAATACAGCCGTTCCAGCCACGCTCTGCAAGAGTGTCCACTGTTGTCATCATCTGTGTCTCAGGCTGGAGGACCTCCTCTCTGCTTCAGGCTGGCATCCCACTTGCTTTGTGGTCCCGGGCAGCTTGCGTGCATATTAGGTGGTGATCTGCACAGCACGAGCTATCCGCATCCCTGCCAATGGCAGGTCCTTCATCGTTCCTACTCACGACGACAACGACGTCTATCCCTTCGGAGAAGAGTGCATTGGTCTCCGGCCTCAGAACTCGTGCAGCATACTGTAAACTTGTTCTGCAGCTGGCTTGTCCCTTGCAGTTTTTCGGCCAGCATGAGCTCCCACCGCCCGGGAGGTGGGCCTAGGCAACATTATAGGCCAGATGGCTCCAGACGGAGGACAGCTGGAGAACTGGCGAAGCGCGCGGCAAGAGCAGCTGCGCGCGCAGCTGCGGTTGGCAATTGGATACTCGCCCTAGGAGTATCGCTCCTCGGGCTCGACTCTCCAGATGGGCAGGAGTTGTTTTCTCGAATTGCGAACCATCAGACTGCGGGCGATCTGGTTGAGGCGTGGTCCCTCCAACTCTGGGAGCGTGGCTATCGGTCCTTGTGCGAGCAGCTGTCGGGGTACTTTCTACTGCTGCACAACGTCCTGACCGGCATTCCGCCTAGATTCTACACTGCTCTGGGTCAGGAATGACCGACAAGTGGAGTAGACCAACGAACGGATTCAAACGAGGCGACCGACTTACGGATCACAATCATACAGCCCTGGAATCTGTGGTCGGTCGCGCCACTGTGAAAAATGTGATAGCGTGGGAGGCTCCACGAGCTGGTAAACCGCCAATGGGTCTCCTGAAGCAAGATGACATCGTGCTCCTCCTGCTCATGCAACCAGATCTGCACCTCAAGCCACGCCTCCTGTGATAGGCCACCGACGTTCCACGACATAGCTCTAATCCGAGGGCCGTGCCTAGTGTCAACATCTCCAGGGCGGCTCCGCTCTGCGGGCCGAGTTTCGGGACCTGCCGGGACACCCCTAAGATTGTCAAAGGTACATAGCCGCCCCTTGTAGTGAGTGGAACGAGCCGGGTTGCGGGCAGCTCGACCAATGGCTCTTCGTAGGGCTCGTTTGCGGGGGATGCGAGCATTCGCCGCAGCTGCCGAGGGAAGACGACCTGCGTCATGCGGATGATGCACGGTGGTCGGGGTGGATTCCCTCCCCACGATGGTGGTCAACTCCCCCTCTCCTGAGCCAGTCCGATTGCATGTCCCGGTCTGGAGAAGGCACCCTACACAGAGCAGAAACAGGAACCGTCGACAAAGGGTCTGGAAGGGACTGAAGCATCGCCTAAGCTGTGTCACATCGTGGGCACGGCGGGCTGCAGAGGAGCTCGCTGATGTCCAAGGGCCTGGGTACCGAGTACCAAACCAGAAACAACGGCTTAGGAAGTGAGTGGTACACCGGTGCAGACAGCTGAGCAGTGAAAGAAGAATACATCCAATAGGCAAAAGAGCCACATGCAGTGCAGACCGGGCAGCCATATACGCACACTCAGGTTGGTCCTGAAGCTGCAGAGGCAATGCCGATCCGACTTTGGAAGGCAGGAAAAGTATAAGGCAAAAGAATCGTAGGAAAGACACGTGCATCCGCTGCACCGTCGATTAAATCAGTTCGGCGCCCCAGGAGGGGGCCGTCTCTCGGCGAGAGGGAGCGGGCCCTCATGATCTCCGATAGTCGCCCAGGCGGGCCCTGTTCAACACTTGCCGCAGGTACCTGATCAAGGGCAGGCAATGCTGGGGCTGGTGAATCACCCAGCCAGGCTCTCATGATATTCTTGAACTCGGCCCATGTGATGCGCCACATCTCCTGCACGTCCGTTTTCCGGTCAAGGGCAGGCAGGTGGATATTATTAATCTTTATCAGTATGCACTGCACACCGGCCCCGATAGGGCAGCCGTTCTTCACAAGAGGGAGAGAGTCTTGCATCATCTCGACAAAACCCTCTCCTCCTTGCCCATTCGAAACGTTCTTCTGGTAGGAGGTGACTTCAACTCCATGGGACCCGAGACTCCATTCCCTTTGGACCTGGTACGTATCTTGGACCCAACCCCCATCCTGATAGACAGCTCCTGGCCAATCTTGCGAACACTCATCGTCTTACGGCCCTGAATACCTGGGGCCGTGTCAGCAAGGCTGCCACGTTTGAAAATGACCAAGCTCGCAGTCAAATTGACTTCTTCTTTGCGCGTGCCGCGCAAATTGACGGGCGCTCGAGTCGAGGTGTGCCCGCACGGACCCCCTGTTTCATCTTCTGCGTTGGCGTGGAGGCGCCCGTCATTACCCCTTACATGTGTCCGTTCCGGCAGTTCACTACCAATCGCCTGCTAAGGTGCCAGGCGAATCTATGGCCCGCGCACCGAAGTATCAGCTTACTCAGCCCCCGGAGCGAGTGCAGGCGTTTTGTGCGCATCTGGCAAGCACCCTTTCAGCCCCGAGCGAACCATCAGAACTGGATCAGGCTTTGCAACAGGCGGCGGGCATGCATCTACTTCCTGTTCAGCCGAGGGCCCATGGTAATTCAATCGCGACGAGGGTCACTGGTATGGTAAAGCAGATGTGGAACCTCAGGCATACAGCGCAGCAATTTGCCTTGGAGGTCCTACGACCCTTCACCATCGTCGCGCAAATTCGCCACTGGCGATCACTGGGGAGCGTCTCTGGTTTACGCTTGGGCAGTTGCTCTCTGCTTGGAGACACCAGGCTGCTTACCTGAGACAGCATCGCCATCTCAGGCGTCGGGGGCGTCAGGCGAAGAAGGAACTCTTGGAGGAGCAACTCCAGCAGGCGTGGGAGGCAGACCGACAAGGGGATAAGTCCTCCATTTGGAAAGTGGTGAACAGGTTAGCTCCGCGCACGGCTAGAGTGAAGATCCAGTTGCGTGGGAACAAGGGAGGACTGCTCACACCAATTGAAGAGGCTGAGCGGTTTAGGACTTACTGTGAAAAGATCTATAAGATACCGCCGCATCACCATTCTGATACCATGGTCACACCTTCCCCTGTGTCCTCACACCCTCGCCACCGGCTGGCGTGCATGCTGCCTCGTCGCTCGATAACCCGTCTGCCGTGAAACCTCCTGGTTATGCCTCTGATGAGCTGGTGGCCCTCCCGCCCACTCCCGGCCCTCTCGAGGTGCCGCACCTTACGGAGGCGTTGTCATTACTGCCAGCGCGTAAAGCCACTCCACCTCACCTAGCGCAACTCCATTTGTGGCATCTGGGTCAGGAGATTCTTCTCCCGCACCTTGCCACTCTCTGCCAGCGGCTCTGGCGATCACCTCACCAGTTCCATCAACTCTGGGCGGATGCCTGGATTGCGTGGCTTGCAAAGCCGGGCACAGCCCCGGATCAGCCCGAGAACTTGCGGCCTATTTCCCTCACTGAGGGAGGAGGCCGTATAGTCGTCAAGGCACTCACTCTCCACCTGCGTCCGTCCCTCACTGAGGCGACGTGGTCCTGGCCACAGTACGCTTATGTACCAGGGCGTAGCATTGAACATGCGATAGTCCGCGCTCTACACCACTGTAGCCGTGTTCAAGCTGCCATCGCGTCCCAGCGTATCACTCTACAGGAGCGAAGGACCACTGGACGCACTCCCACCACCTGTCAAGGCGGAGTCACGCTGTCCATCGACACCAGCAAAGCCTTTGACACAGTCGATAGAGGAGTTCTTGAACAGGAGCTCAAAACGGCCCGCATTCCGGAGCCGGAACTCACACTCATTATGTCCTTGCATCAAAACATCGGATATTGGCCGGCAGGCCCAGGGTCCGATATCCGAGTCTCTAGTGAGAGAGGAGTGCGACAAGGTTGTCCCCTTGCCCCTAGTCTCTGGACGCTTGTCACGGTAGCCCTACTCCGTGCTATGGCGGGCACTGACGCTCTTGACTGGATCCAGAATGACACAACCATGTTCGCAGATGACCTCCTTCTCCAATGGGAGTATACTAGTACACAAGAACTTGAGCGTATGATCTCTGCCATCCAAGAATGTTTTCGGGTGCTTGAGCGTCTAGGTCTTCAGGTACAACGCCGCAAAACTCAACTACTTGTTGCCCACAAAGGTCGCGTGGCGCATCGATGGTGGCAGATGCACACGGCCTCCTCATCGGAGGGCCGATTTCTTCGTATTCCACAGCCGAATCAAAAGGACTTGCGACTTCCCGTTGTCACCCAGCTCACCTACCTAGGCATCGTCCTTTCTTACAAGGATGCGGCCACTGCCACCGTAGAACACCGCCTTCAGGTGGCTGAGGCCCAACGTGCTCGCCTCCTCAAAGTGTTGCACTCGCGTACCCTCCCTCTACGAAAACGAGTGCAGCTCTGGGTGGCGTGTGTTCGCAGCTCGGCCCTATACGGTCTACACCTGTTGGACCTGCAGCAGAAGCATGTGGCACGCATCACCATTGTTCTTGTCAGGCACTTGAGGGCCATCTCTCGGAGCTTCGCTCACATGTCACAGGAATCCAGTCAGGCCTTGCTCCTTAGACTGGGAGTGGAGGATCCCCTGCCCTTCCTGCTGCGCAGCGGTCAGAAGCTCCTGACCAAAACCCTCCAATCGCAGGATCTATGGTGCATAGGCCACGCATACTGCAGTGGCTTACACATATCACGGAGACTAGGCTAGCGCTGGACTCACATGTTGCACAGGTGCTCCCCCACCCAATGTCGAGTCAACTTCTGATGCGACGGTAATAGCTGGTGAGGTCACTGAGTCTCTTCGAGTTGCCTCACTCCCTGGTCCTCTGGTGGGCACCAGGCAGGGTGCACAGGTGTCGGGACAGCACGGTCCCAGATCAACCACGTTGTCCTGTCCCACGTGTCACCTCTGGTTTCCGGATCTCGCGGCCCTCAAAAAGCACCACGCTAAGCACCATGCCTCCCCGGTAGAGCCTCCTCATCCCACCGCCGATGCGGCGGAAATTCGCCAACACAGCGTGAATGGTATGCCGGTCTGTAGACATTGTGGAAGGGATTACATTACGTGTGTCAATCTCAAGCGGCACATACAGAAAGGGCACTGTGCAAGGCGTTGGCAAAATGCACTAAATTCTCAGGAGCCTTCCGCCACTGAGCCTGTCTCTACAAACACGAGCCTTGTGCCGCCTACGATCCAGGTGCAGCAGTCTGAACCAGCTCTTCACGAAAAGGACCCTCATGCCACGGCCCCTGTTTTGGGTGAGCCGATGCCGGCAGTGAGTCCATCTCCCAGTGGCCCTCTCCTCAGTGCGATGCTGCCTGTCTCCCCAGCACAATGGCTCCAGTTTGCTAGACGCCCTGAGGTACAGGAAACGTTGCGCCGCTTCTGTGCGACGTGTGGACAATGGCTGGTGTCAGTGAAGAGCATTAAGTTGCACTATAAACATGTCCACGGGGATATCTATAAGCGTTTTTGCAAGACTGCTGCCGCTGATTGTCGAAAAGTGGGTCACCTCGTATCGCCATGTGTGTACTGTGGAGCCGCCATCACACGCACGGACCAGCATTCTGGTACTTGTCCAGTGCTCTGGCAGGCACGTGTCTGTTGTCTGGTACAGGCAGACCTTGCATCAAAACGCATCGCAGAGCCGGCGCCTGCCCTCAGCTCAACTCCGCCCAGCCATGGAACATGTGCCCACGCAGATGGACTTGGACGAGGAAGAGAGGCAGTGCTTCGGGAACCTTCTGAGGAAGCGAGCCCTCGCGCTCGGGGTGGAGTCGCCGAGCAAGTATCCTCACCCAGGGGGGAAGGGTGCCCCGCCACAGGGAGGTGGCAGACCTCGCCAGTTCCAACCGAACCGCGGTCCCCGCCAGACGGCCCCCTCACAGGGGAGCCGAAGCAAGGAGGAAAACCGAGCACGATCGGGGACTTCTTCGGACGTGCTGCTGCACAAGGTAGCCAAGGCACTCATAGTCCAATCGGACTACCTGTCGCGTCTCCAAAGCGACCACACGGTCATCTTCACGTTTCGGAACGGCGACGGCCCTCAGTTGATGGTGCCGCTACTTCACGAAGTGGCAGAAAATTGGCGAGATCAGCGAAGCAAGGGCAAAGTCACCAAGTCCCTCAAGCAAACTCTGCTCCAGTATGTGACCGCAGAAATCATCACCAGCGTCACTACATTCGCGAGCGACAAGAGTGCCCAGGCCAAAGCACAGGAGATGGGTTGGGTGACGAGCGACTTGGAATACAATTATCTCGATTGGAGTGCCGAGGAGCAGAGGCTCGTCCCTCGTCAGGAGGGGACGCTTACGCAGGACCAGATCCTGGCCGATGCTCGGCGCCTCAAGACTCTTCTGAAGCAGCAGGAGCTGATTATCAAATTCTCGGCACCTCGGAAACGGCGACATTCGTTCTGGAACTCTCGATGCAGATCCCAGCAGCGGCCGAGGTGATGTCCATCTTCAGGAAGTGGTTTGCATCGTCGGCTCTTCTGCTTCTGTCACTCCGTCTCAAGCCGGCCCGCCCAGAGCGGTCGCCGGTAATCAAGGAGATTCAGGAGGCGGTGGGATGGTGACGGGTCCGAACCTTACACTCTCGTATGCGCCTGCCATGTCTGACTCCTTAGCTGCCATTGTCTTGCATAATCCTGGAAATCACTGCTATCTTAACTCCGTGGTGTACTTGCTTGCTTATGCATGCTCCCTGCATGCGCCGCACGGCCCCCCCCAGGGGTGCCACAGCACTTGAGCATGCCTTGCGCTCTACCATCTCTGGCTCAGGTGTGAGCACACCACGAGAGGAGCAGCTGATTGCCAACATGCCTGCATGGAGGTCGCTACTTGAAGAGTGGCAGCACATGCATCGCCAGCAAGATTGCATGGAGTTTTTGCATCACCTGCTAGAACGGAATCCTCTGCCGTTCGCCACCTGCCGCTGGGAGGCCAGACCTGTTCCTGGCACTGCTGCCGCTCGTCGGCCCCTCATATGTGGCACTGCCTATGTGGATGTACCTCTTCCGAGACGTGCACATGCAACCATTCAGGAGTGTGTCGTGCAGTGGCATGAACAGAAGATACCGCATGGACTGGTAGTTGCCCCTCCAATCCTGTTTGTTAGCCTAGCGCGCTATGCCAGCATGAAGCATCTCGGCTCTCAGAAGGGCTGCCCGCTGCTGGGGGTGGTCTGGGGTTTGTTGTTTTTGTGGTGTCTCTTTCTTCTTCGGGGTTGCCGGAAGGCACTTCATGCCATGGCCTGCGATATGGCTATGCTCCTCTGTGCGCCGCATGGGTCCAACAAGGTTCCTAGGAATGCTGATATGGCTGATGCTTTGCATAAGTTCGTGCTGGATACAGCCTTGGAACAGCTTCTGCATAAATGGCGGGAAGTTCTGCAGCTACCTCAAATCGCTAGGCTTAGTCTGTTTACTACATATGCCAGAGCTTGGAAGCCATGCTCAGCCTTTTGCATATGGAGCGAAGCTTGGGAGATTCTGCCGGGACCTCAGAGACTCCAGATGTACAAGGATGTGTCTCTGGTTTTTCCAGACTTCGCTTATGACATGCTGCATGTGGTGTATGCGGTTAGCTGCAGAGGACCCCTGGGATCTATGGATTGAACTTATCATGTGTTCCTGTCGTTGGCTGCAAGGGGCATATCGGATGCAGCAGGGCGATCCTGTAGATCGGTGCCGGTGGCAGGTGTTCCTGACCAGCATTGGTTTCATTATTATTCTGCTTCTGCTCCGTGAGCTTTGCACAAGTATGCTACAGATTGCACATTTGCTGATACCAGCTGATCCATGTCTGCTGCAGCGTGTTCTCTACTCATGGTTGCAAGTCCTGGTAGCATTGCTCCCCTTGGACGACGCTGGTTGCAGGGTATGGCTGATACTGGGAACAATGCAGCTGCTACAAGTGGGGCTGAGTCTTCGACTGCCCCACGGCCCATTCCACCTTCAGTGGCCTCTGCTTCAGGAACTCCAATGTTGGAGGGTCTGCCTATGGCTGCAGCTTCGTCGTATGGTCCGGCAAGCATTCGACCAAGCACGGTGCCTGTGGAGCCGTATCCTCGGAGCGGCAAATGGAGAGTAAATACTACAACAGGGTCTTTGGACGCCGCGGAAGGCCGACATCCAATCCTGTCTTCCATCCCAAGGGTCCTCCTCCACCACCAGGTGCTTCACTTAGCCTGGAGACTGGGATTGATGATCCTGAGGAGGCTGGCAGCATGCTGGAGTCCCCAACGTCGGACCCCCCGCCGCGAGAGGCGGGAGAGGCAGAGAGGAGAGAGGAGGCCGATGTTTAGACGAGTACCGGCCCATCTCTACATCTGGCCGCCGCCGTGGCTGGAGGAGGATGGAGAATCGGAGCCTCAGCCTGCTGAGGATCCAGTCGTTGAGCCGGACACAGGGCGAGTGGCTGATGAGATGGCTGTCTCTGAGACAGCTGCGAGCTCGAAGAGCTCAGCACCGCCACCGGGCGGAAGGATCTTGTCCCCAGACCCGCGCACAGGCCGGTTGTTGGATTGACGATGATTTCATGCCAGAGCTCACCTCCGGCTCGGGAGACAATAGCTCAGAGGATAGCTTCATGGCCTGCCTGGACTATGGCTTTGAGGGGGGCACGAAGGATTGAGCTTGACTTTAGTTTCTGCTCCCATCGGCCCACAGGGAAAATGAGTGCGGCTGCGGTGCACTGGTTATATCACTGGCTCTTGGTATCGATGCACTATTTCCTACGAATCCAGCGGATCTGCCAGGTGACGGCCTCGTGCCAGCTCGAGCTCCTCTTCGCTACAGGTGGTATACTCAGTGCTTTTCCTCGTTTAGCAGAATGTGTATGCCATCTTTTTGGACCTTCGGGAGCTTCCGCACGGAGATCCTTCAGTCAGAACACCACCTTTCTATATCAGGAGCATCAAGCTTGCCCCATGACCTCTACCTGCTCCAAGCAATCGAAGAGCCGCGTGGGTCCCAAGTCCCACGACTGCAGCAGAGTGACTCGATGTAATCAGAACTGCCTTCTTTTCTGGTTAGTCATCTTTCAGCTTTGTGTGTGCACCAGAGCTGCTGCGGTGGATGCGAGGGTTGCACCCATCGTCCATCAGGGTGCTGGAGCCTCAGGCATTGTCTGGGGCGAAGCAAATGGACACACCGCGCACCATCCTACAGTGCGTACTACCGTTTCACCAGGCCTGCCAAACCATAGCACGCCACATCAAAACCGAGTTCGTAAACGAGCCTTTGCAAGAGCCATAAGACGTGCTTCGGAGGCAACAGACCACAGCACTGTGTATCGAGGCCGACGCTGCGTGCTTCAGGGCCATCGTTTTCAGGTCCAGGAGGCTAGGCGACGACAGCACCATGTGCATCCAGGCATTACGACAAGGAGATCTGCCCAAGCTCGCCTACGCACCATCACCATCAACCTGGGAGGCCTTGATACTGTTACCTTTGATACGTTCATGGCATGGCTTCCTGCAGCACCTTATGACATAGTTTGCTTGCAAGAAGTGCACTTTGGATTGGGCAAAGAATCTAGCAGCTGGGCTTCTGCTGGTTGGAGGTTTGTGACCACGATAGATGCGTCCACCAGGTACCAAGGAGTGGCTATCCTGGTCAGAGAATCTCTTTGCAAAACAGGTGAGATGCACTACCAAGAAATCATACCGGGCCGACTATTACATGTTCGGGTTGCACAGGAACATCATTCTCTGGACCTCATTGGGATTTACCAGCATGCTCTGCACCTCGAGGCTGGGAATAATAACCTACCCCAACGACACAAATTGTGGGAAAAGCTTGGGGCTCTCCTGCATAATTTGTCACAACGAAACATGCTAGTCTTACTTGGTGACTATAACTGCACCCCTGAATACGTGGCTGGAGCAATGGGGCACCGTTATGAGAAGGCGAGCAATTATCCAGATGCCAATGAGTTTGCTGCTTTACTCGAGACCCATGATCTGGTCCTCTTGAATGGATGGATTCGTTTGAAGCTTCAACACACCTTCAAGGGAGCCAAGCATCAGTCCACTATTGACTTTGCTATCACTCGCAGGCATCATGCGGATGGGCCGGCCAGAAAGGCTCGCACGATTCCGGGTCTCAATTTCAGTCCATGGCGCATGGGTGGCAGGCACCTGGCGGTTGGAGCCACTCTACCCCTTCACCCAGGCTGGACGAGTACTTCTCGACGACACCCTCCGGCGCAGGTTAAATATGATAAGATGCAGCTAGACCATGAGGCCAGACATGGAGGAGATCGTATCGAAGCTCTTCGCGAGGCTATGCAGGCCTACTTCAAAAGCCACGCCTCAGTCACTTTGGAGCAGGTCAATGATCATATGCTCTCTCAGGTTTCAAGACTGTTTCCCCGACGCTCGATGGCACCAGCGCAGCGAGCTTGGAACAACCCACAAGTGCGAGGATCGGTGACGGCAATGTGGCAGGCCAGGGCTCGTCTTCGTAACATCTGGAGCACCACATACACACGACTGCGATACAGCGTGGAGGCCTTCAAACGACATCGAGTCTTCATGCAGGCTTATCGTCTCCTCAAGCAAAATGGTCGTCAGGCGAGACGAGCTTTACTCACAAATGAGCTTGCAGCAGCGGCGGAGGCAGCACAGCGCAATGACTCTGGCCAGCTGCACAGGATCATCCGTCGTCTGGCCCCAAAGAGCAAACGAGTGCAGGTTCGCATTCATGGTCCAAATGGCGAAATGCTGAGGGATGCAGCTGAACACGAGGCCATTGTGGACTACTTTGAGGATTTGTTTCAGTCTCAGAAAGCCTCGATGCTCATCAGCCCTGGTACAGATGCAGCTCCTCAGGTCACTGAGAAAGATGTCTATGACTCGCTTTGCCTCACCAAGTACGGGAAGGCTGTTCCACCAAAAGCAGCGCCCTCCAGCGCAATCAAATGCTGTGCAGATATTCTGGCCCAGGCAATCACTCCGACAGTGAATGCATGCTTGCAAGGGGCGACTACGCCGCAGCGATGGGCAAACTGTCATCTTGCATTAATCCCGAAACCGCATAAAATTGCGAAGAGACCGGCTAATTTAAGGCCGCTTGGACTACAGGACTGCAATGCTAAGGCGTACGCTCGTATTCTCAAGAATCTTCTTCTACGAGATGTCCACACAACTCTTGCAAGCACGCCAGTTTTTGCTTATATCCCCTCAAGGGGAACGGATGATGCAATTGCTCGAGTGTCGGATCACTGTCGACGTGTCAGGAACAGTCACCAGCAACAGGTGTCAAATGTACACACCTACAGGGCTAAGAAGCCTAGGTTGGGTGCATATGGAGGAATGCAATTAGCCATTGACCTGACGACTGCATTCGACACAGTGCCGCGAGATGAGCTGGGCCGTGCCTTATTGTGGGCAGGAGCAAACAATACCCTGATTGCAACCATATTGGACTTACACTCAGTGTGCCAATATACCATACAACACAAGGGTCGCTCCAAATGCATCCATATGCGCAGAGGCGTACGTCAGGGGTGTACGCTTGCACCATTGCTTTACGTCATTTTTAGTGCATATTTGATCTCTAAGCTACAAGCTCGACTGCCGGCGGACTGGGTGCAGCATCATTTAACGCTCTACGCGGACGACTCCCATGTCAGCTTTGAAATCAACAGCACTGAAGACATCCTCCGCTCTATGCACATTATCACATGCATCTTCGAAGTGTATCGAGAGCACGGGATGATGTGTGTCAACCCCCTGAAGTCGGGGGCTTGGTGTCCGTGGATTGAAGGCAACTGAGCTGACTTGCAAGGCACGGGGGATAAGCAGTGTCTAGTCATTGGCCTTGGTAAGGGTGAACTTCGAATACCGGTCAAAACCAGCATGACATACCTGGGTATATGTGTCTCTTATGGCAACTTTGAGCAAGAGACCCTCAGTGCCAGATTGAAAGTGGCCCAGGCCACCCGATGTCGCCTGTCAAAGGTGCTCAGTGCGCATAGGTATCTCACACAGCAGCAGAGGATCCATCTGTATGTTCTTTGTGTTCGCTCAGCAGCATTGTATGGCCTTGGCGCGGTGGGCATGAGTGCATCCTGTCTTCGTAAGTTACAGATTTTTGAGGTCAAGCATGTTAGGGCTATAGTGCGCTCACCGGTGCATCTCACAAGAGAAACCACAGTACACCTGTACAAACGCCTCAAGCTTCGTATGCCTGCTCAACAGCTCTTTTACGTGCTGCGAAATCGAGCCAAACGACTTCGGATGGCTGATATGCATAAGCAGGGGCTTCCAGAAAGATGTGGATGGATGCATGAGTTGTTGCTTTTGCAGACAGCAGGGCTTGAGCCGGTGCCGGTGGTGCAGGAAGTAGCTTGCCCTACGTACCTGTGGACAGTATTTTCCAACTCTCCAAGCTATGCGACAACATCACACTCGTACGCACAAGATCAGGGTGCAGTTCAAAGCACAGGGACCGGCGGGCAGATTGCATGCACTTCGGACGCAAGATCACAGTGTGAACAACATGCCTATCTGCAAACATTGCAAGGTCAAGCTGACCAGTTGGCATAACTTTCGTGTGCACATTCTTACGAGCTGTCCGGTTTTGCATTATCAGGGAGCTACCGCTGTGTCTGTAGGGTCTGCTGAGCAGTCCGCTGCGGGACCCACTGAGGAGCCTAGTCTCAGGTCTGCATTGCAGTACGCTGCGGGGCCTGATGCTCCAGACAGCACAGACGCTCCCGTTGCTGAACGTTCAGAAGTGCTTGCGCTGCTCCCGCAGCAAAATTGGAAGAGCATTCTATGGCTAGATGGTGTGAAGGAACATTTGCGTAACCATTGCATACTGTGTGCTCAATGGGTATCTTCTGCACCTGGAGCGCTCAACAAACATTTGTTCTCGCTGCATCCTGCTATGTCTCGACACAGTGCAGAAGCCTCGGCCCAAAGCCTTACCTTGAGAGAGGGTCAGCAACGGCCTTGTGGAGCTTGTGGGGCGCGGCCCCTACATCGCACTAAACACAAGTGCAGAGTACTGTACCAGATCTGCCTCCTGCGGCAGTCTCATTTGCAGGCCCTGACCAGTCCTCCTCCTCGCCTACTCTCGCCAGCTCCTCAAAATGGAACTTGCAGCGAACGAGGCCCTGAGCGACTCTGGGCAGACGACAGCGGGAAGAACAGGAGACGGAGCTCCCGGACAAGTTTCAGCGACCAGCGTGCAAAGGTCAGAGTGCCCCGACTGGAAAGAACCCGCACCGCAGCCCCAAGCCAGTCGTCTCAGGGCAAGGAAGCGGGCCAAGACAGTCGCCAAAGCCAGGCCCCGTCAGGCCGGGCAAAGCAGCAGCACCAGCAATGGACGAAGAAGGAATGGGAGGAATGGAACCGCCAGGGCTACAGCTAGGAGAAGACCAACCAGGAGCTTCAGAAGGAGCTGGAGGTCCTCAAGGAGGATGTTCGGCTCTTGGCTCGGATAGCCATGAGGCACGAGGACGAGCTGAGTCAAAAGAGGACGGAGACGGACTTCCTCCTGACAATGGAAGTGGGGTCCTCGGAGTCGGGGACCACGGAGGGCATCTTGGAGCAGCTCTACAAGATGGCGGTGGAGTGGAAGGAGAAGCAAGAAAAAGGAGAGGTCAAAAACTCCTTACGGCTT